TATTTTGATTATTATTATTTGGTTGAAATTATATATAAATATTAAATTAATTTATATTTTATCTTTTTTTAGGAAATTGTGCTCTATATATATCAATTCTATAATTGAAGTAATTTTTAATTTCAACAATATTCTTGCAGGTAACTTGATTAAATTTTGCTTTGGGGTAAATTCGTATACCAATTTTTTTGCTTTGTCAGTGAAAGAGTGAGGAATATTATAAATTTTTAATTATTTTTGGCAAATTCATGAATGTTTCCGATGATAGCTTTGTCGGTGAAAGAATGAGGAATATTATAAAAATATACTTAGTCCCAACGTTCGGTTTGTCGATAAATTACTGATGTGACTTATCAGTGATTAGTTTGCGTGTAGTAAACTAGCTGTAGATTAGGGACATGCTTCTCGTCGGTGATTTGTACTAATTTACCGACGTGACTTACCTAAAATGAACTCCGGGAGTACGGTTCCAACAACAAGTTAGAGACATGCCTTTTGTCGGTAATTTGGATTAAATTACCGACGTGACTTTAATTCACATCGGTAAATAGATTACCGAGCAGACTTACACCAACAAATGTATTACCGACATGATTCAAATTAGAAATTGGTTTTACCGATGAGACTCCTTTTGGTTTCCGACATGATTTCTTGTCGGTGATATTAGGTTTTTTAGTAAAAAATTTTTTAAGGACACTCCTTTTTTTTTTTTTTTTGATAAATAAGAGAGATATTACAACAAGCAGCTAAAAAAAAGAGAGAATTGTACACTAACCTTCTAATGGCCTCTCTTAGACAAGCAGCGAGGAAAGGAATTTTATAATCAGAAGTACCGGAACACTGTGTAAAAAAGGTGAGAAGATTCCTCTCAAGTTGGGCTTCGGGAGGCCCGGATTATAACTGGAACGGTCAACGGACAATTTTTCTTGTTGATGCTGACTGCTGAGTTGGGAATTTTTCTTGTTGTAAACCCATAGTGCTTACGTGGAATGTTTTGAACTTAATTGTTACGGATTGATGATATAACTTTTTTTTTTTAACATTAATGATATTTTATATATTTTAAAATTATTATTATATTTTAATTTAAATTTGTCACAATTTAATTTTTTTTAAATAAAAAAATAGTTTTTTACTATAATTTTTCCATTATTCTGTTACTTTAATTCTATTATCATTTATTTATTTTAATTAATTAT